CAACATATATCTAGAGCCGCTTGACAATGAAAAATATGGACTCGAGTTCGGTTAAACTAGAGTGCGATTCGTTTGCAGCCAGGTAAGTTCGGGTTTCTCTGCAGTCATATTTTTTAGTTTCTTTTGTCGTTGGATAAACAGACGCTCCTATCTTGGTGACTACACATTGTTTTGATAATTTGCCTCAAGGCCCTTTTTGGGTACATAGAGAAGAGCACTAGTAGTAGTAGCTGCAATCTCCGGTAGGTTGAAATGTTCCATAATAGACTAATAGAGATGTCATGAACATGAAAACTAATTCAAGGAGAGCATAAGCCAATTATACTAATCAAGTACAATACAATATAATTCACGGTAGAGAACATAATTTTTCTCAGTTGTGTTCGGCCGAAGGAGCTATTCCTCGATCCATCGCAACATTAGCACATCATGCAACAATTTCGAAAGTCGAATACCATTTTCATTTTGTTTCTTCACACGTAGCTTTACTCTCTAATGATCGAACGAGACTAAACTCTCCGTATAAACATCCGCCTCAACAAAAGGACCAAATTTCGTTGCCTCGGGACACCTAAATCTACCTCCGCCACTCGGATCCCAAATCACAAAACTCGAACCACAAACAAACAAGACCTCGCCCGTGGGCCCCACACACAAGGGCTTCGGATACGGCCCTTTCCTAAGAACACAATGTATATCATAATGAATACTCGCCATTTTAACCCAAGAATCTCCCACCACCCCATAATGCTTCAAAACCCAAACATCCAAATTCATTTCGCGAAAATCACGAAGCACACAAAGGCACCCGCCGAGAATCCCCAACGATGTGGGAAAAAAGCCCTCGAAACCAAACGGCAGCTCAACTTTCCCCAAAGTCTCGGTTGCTAAATCGAAGGAAACAATTTCCCAATTCAGCCCAGCTTTCTTCCCCCAATGCAGCTTCCCACCGACGAATTTCGCGCCATCATCGGTCTGGAGCCCGTGGTTAAAGATCTCGACTTTTTTCCAAGAATCGGCTTTCAAGCTGTAAACTTTCGCCATAATTTGATATCTATTCGGGACAGAGAACCCTGTCATAATCCCCAATACCTTGTAATCGCAACTAACATAGTCAAATCCAAACCCATACTTGGAAATAAACAAACAGTTCATACTATCATCATCCACCTCGGGAAGTTCTTTGTAATTTCCGGTCCAAGGGTTCCAGAGGGAGAACTGCTTACCGTTGACGGCGAGGCAGACGAGCCCGTCACAGCAGCCGACGATCCGAAACGAATTTCCGGGATTCTTCATAGGAAACCTGGATTCAGTCGCATCGGCGTGGGGCCCATGTAGCAATGTCCGCAGATCGACCTGCTTCAGGCCGCCGGACGGCAGCAAAATGGTCGTGATGATTTTTTGGCCGGTGAAATTGGGGCCGTCCTTCGAGATTCTGAGGTGGTCCCGGACGAATTGGTCGCCGGAGATCAGGGCGCGCCATGACTTGGAGACGCGTTTGAATCTGAGGAGGGATTTGACGGGGAGTCTTGATAAGATCTCGGCGATGATGTCGTCAGGAAAATTGGGGGCGGTGGGCTCGGCTAATGGGGTTTTGAGGAACTTGGGTTGAGGAGAATTTGAGGGTGATTGTGGATTTGGTTTGGATTTGGTTTCCATTTTTGGATGAGCTTTTATTTTTATTTTTTTTTCGGGTTGTTTGTGGAGTGAGAGAGATTTTTGTTTCTATCGGGTTTCTGGAGGTGTAGTGAGATTGGCCGTGGACTGAATATAAAACTAGCTGTGATTGGATGATGATGAAATTATTGTTCTCTTTTTCCAATTATTAAGTTTGACTTATGAATAGTTGTTCAAATTCAACCTATTATCTAGTCTTTAGCAAATGGACTAGCAATGAAAATCTGAGGATAGTTCAATTTTTTTTTTAAAAAAAAAAAAAGTAAAAAACAAAAANAAAAACACAACTTTCATATCGATTTTGAGAGTGGTTTTTATTGTTGGATCATACACACTTCGTACATAAATTTGTGTGAGTGTTGATACAAGAATAAAAAAAAAATTGATAAAGATACTGCTTTTAACAATAGACATAATTTACCAATAGAAATCAACTAGTTACACTATGGAGCCCCACTACTCTTGTAGTTTTGGAGAAATATTTTAAACATTCAAGTAGTGTGTGACATTAGATGATAAATTTAATGTGGGTTGATACTTTATACTACTCAACAACGAGAATAGCAAAAGAATATTCCATATAGTCTAACTTCATACTAGACTGCATTAAACAGCAAAACATACACCATAAATCAGTTTTCTTTATTACTCACAAACACATCATAATGGCCAACAAATTTGTAAAAGAAAAAAAAAAAGGTACAAAAATTCAATAAAATAAATTAAAAACTATTCATCACTTCACATCGATGTTATGCGAGCCCGAGAAAGACAGTCGTTTTCTAGTCGACCCGCTTTCGGGTGTCCCCAATGGGCTCGGCAGCCTCGATTTAGCCCTAGTCGACTCAGTGGACCCCATGTAGCTCGGGACACCTGGCAAGCTTGATCTCTCGGAAAGCGTGCTGTTGATGCTCCTTGAGTCTTCATCTTTGACCATGGCTCGTCTAGGGCTCGATGGCCTTGATCGGGATTTCGGAGTCAAAGGAGATTTGACCATGCTTTTGCGTTCGTTTTCCCACGGGCGTGCGGACATCCAGTGTTCTAGCCAACTCCAACCCCACCTCGGACTGTTCGGGTCCATGAATGTTCGGTTTGTCGAGTTTGACGAGTTTCTCCATGTTTGCTAAAAAAGTTTGAAAAAACTCCATATTAAGAAAGGCTTTGTATATTGTAATCGATTAATTTGTAGAATGGAAACACGCTCGTATGAATAATAATTTACTTGGTGCGAATATGCGTATGCCAATGCCCTCTCTCGTCTCATGGCAGCCTCTTCCCGGTTACGACGAGTCGACTCAATCTGATCTCTCGTCTGCGAGTTGTCATCCCAGTTTTCTTCGATCTGTTTTTAAAATTGAATTCAAACACGAGAAAAATGATAATGAATAGCTAGCATATGATTAGGCCCGTAAACGAGCCAGAACTCGGACTAGAGCTTGGCTCGTTTATCAGTATTAACGAGCCGAGAATCTCGAGCTTTAACGAGCTAAACTAAAGAAAATTTGATAAAAAATCTCTTCGAGGCTCGGCTCGTTAAGGCCTCGAGTTCGAGCCGAACAAAGCCAGACTTGTTTTATTTAACTGCACTGCATATGATAGCAACACGAAATTAACACACGACAAATATTAAAAAATTGAAGAGAACGAGAATGCGCGTGAAAAGTGGCTTACGGATATTTTCGATTTCTCAGTTTCCTTTTCGCTATTGTGTTGGATTTTCCGGTGGATAGCCGAGTTCTCGATCGATGATAATTTTGTCATTCTCCTTGCACGAACCTCGGATTGCAGACGAGACACCGTCTGCATCCACTGCAAGGTGGCGGAGGCTTGTTGTTTGATAGATTTTCCGGTGACGAGCGATTTTAGCCTCACGACACCTCTCAAAGCCCTCAATCGTCTTCTTGCCTGTAGTGAAGAACACCATATTGTAATCATCAAAAGGCTACTAGAAACGATAAAGAACTAAAAGTGTAAATGAAAACAAAAAACAAAATGTATATATAATAATCTATACTTATATAATAAGAATTAACATTTATCAAAATTAGTAACTTAATTAATGGTCAAAGTCAATTTTGCATTAATTACTTTCCAAAATTGGTAACTTTTATGTCTGTTTCACACTTCTCATTAATTATGTCCTTTTCACACTTCTAATTAATAATGTCATTTTCACACTTCTCATTAATTATGTCCTTTTCACACATCTAATTAATTCATTAATTATGACATAATTATCATAAATCATTCCATCTGAGCTTTTATCGTTAAAATGTATAGCGATTTGTTATGACCTTATCCCATTGATATTTCCATGAAGCGTCTTTATCGCGTTCTATTTTTTTGGAACCACTCTATATCAATAACCGGATATTTGGTTAATGAGAGCACACGTCTTTATTTCAAGGAGCGGATATTCTTTGACTTTTAATTAATCTGAAATGATTGCCTTGACTTTTCAATTTTTAAAAACTCTTTTTTTAAATATTTCGGCTTAAGATTCGGATTTTCTTATACAAGTCATCGGATTGTTTGAATGAAAATGAATGAAAAGAACACCAAAAACAGGTAGCCTTATTCATATACCTAATCTTGAAATATTAGTTTGTTCACAAAAAATAGACAAATCTTAGAAATCCTAAAATATTAGTTTGTTCACAAAAAATATTAGTTTGATTCTTAGGATTTGTCTCTTTTGAAAATATTAGTTTGTGATAATGAGGAGTTACCAAATAATCAAACTCATAATGTTGTGTACAAGGAGGTTTTTAATAATATATGATTGTTACCGAAATTCAACAATGTTCCTATGTATTTTAATAATTTCAATTTCGATCCTAATGCACGTGAGGTTATATTATTCTTCTAAATTTTACATCCCGTGCATCGCACGGGTTACGTACTAGTTTGGTTAATATAGACCGAAAATTAATTAGTTACACACTTACATGATGAATTAACCTATTCTGGTATAGCAGAAATATACTTGTGTGATATAAATACGAGTCGACCTGTCATACTACATAAATAAATGCATACGATCAAACTGAAGTCGGAACTTTTTGTTTCATCTTAGGATTTTTGTCTTAT